TATTTCTGTGTATAAACAGACAACAGCAATTTTCCACTTGTATTTACTATCTTTAAATGATACCTGCCAGAAACATTATATGTTCTGCTCAATTTGGTTTTCTTAAACATTTAAGTGGTGTACTTCTTTAAGGTTCTACAGTGCACTGTTTTCTAAATTGGACCATGCTGTCAGAAAATTAATGTAATGTCAGTTTGAAAATCACCATCCATCACGACCCTAATTCGGATAATCACAGTTTTGGCTTTTTGAATGACTCCTGCCTCCTGCTCGTGCTTTATACTTTGCTTCTCTTGTAACTTCTTTTTACTGAACTGAAAATTGCCTTTTTTCCAGGCACTATGGAAAGAGTTGAAACACTGGTCTTGGTCCTGTCTCCGCAATAGACTAGTTGTAGGAAACCATTTAAACTTCTAGAATCTCAATTTCCTCATTTAAAAAATGAGGGTACTGATACATCACAGTGCAGTATTTTCCCAAGGACCAATTGCTCTGGATACACCTGTACGTTGACAGTTGTCAAGCTCTAACTGTTAGGCTGCTTTTATTGGTTTACGTGGATGGTGGGCTTTTAAACGTACAGTAGAAATTCTGTTATTATTTCATTTGCCCAGGTCGTAGCAAAGAATTTGTAATATTTACCGGAAAGAGTGTGTGACTGGAGGCAGACAGCCCCGCGTTTGCAGTCTGGCTTCAGTTTACTAGATACGAGGTTTTGCACGCGTGTGACCGGCTTCTGTTTGGTTTCCTTGTCTGTAAAATGGAGGTAATACGTTCCTGACAGGGTTATTGTAGGGTTAGTAATGAGGGTAGAGTGCTTAAAGAAGGTTGTTTTCTTTTCTATAAATTTAGATAAAATATGAGTTATAAAATCAGTGACTTAAATACATGCAATTATGGTCTCTCCCTAATTTTCTTTTCAGTGCAACTAATGTTGGTTATTATTTGTGCGAAAAATATTAGCTGTTTACATCTGGTCTGCTCAGTGATGTGGAGGTGTGGGCGCGTCTAGCCCTTAAACAGTTTTGCGGCCTGTAATGATCGTTTACCCATCTATGTAATCATGCAGCATTTAACATTAGGGCCCTCC